AGAAATGTAATGTATAATGTAGTACAGATTATAATTACCTATGATAGTCAAGCTTAGAGTTAAGTTAGTTAGGTTTTTCAGTTAGGTATTTGAGATAGATAGGAATTCTTCAAACCTTTCAAAGACCTACAGAATATGGCATTTAAAATGGTTTAGGGTTTTTCTTGACAGTGAGGCATAAATGCTCCTGGCAACACCACCTGCGTCAGAAAGGAAGATGGACATCAAAGAAACGAGTTATGAAGTTTGCTTTCAATATAGCAAGACTAGCTATTTGGACAAGATACTGCTCTTGTCTGGACTGTTTGACTTTATGCTGTATAAACTGGACATGCAGGACCCACAGAAACATAACTGCTGATTCAAGATGGACATTGCTACAGAGTTCCTGCTTCATAGAAGAGTCTGCCAGACAGTCTGCAGGACACAGAGAAAAGTGACTGACAAACTGCCAATACGGGTGAACAGTTTAAAGTTTCCTGTTTTGCTGAAGAGTCTGCCAGACACACTATGGCCTTATGGGCTGAAGATGGAAGATTACAGAAAAACTTCGGGTGACTGACCAGACAATGAGTTGTCTCTGTCATTTCTAGAGTTTATATATTATCTTTCTATGGTCTTTGAGGGAGTTGAAGACAAATAGTTATGGTTATAGTTTTCCTTAGTTAGGATTAAAGATAAGTTAAATATAGAACTTCAGACTCACAAAGATAGGATGATGGAATATTTTCTTTAAATCTCGCTAAATGTTAATGAACTAAATATTGTTAACTGTGAATCTTATTTGATAACTGTTGTGCTATATATTTTGCTATGTTAAGATTAAAACCCTTTTTATTTTACACAGAAGAGATGATGGGAGATGTCATTCTGTAAATATGTTTCTCATACTGGTTAATGACTAGAGCACTGTTGCCAATAGGAAAGCAAGATAGGCGGGTCTAGGAAACAAGGAGGAAAGAGGAAGTAGTAAGGAGGAGTCAAGATGTAGAGTCTGGAGAGAGCAGGACTCCAGCCGGCTCTCAGGTAAGACCACGTGAAAATACATAGATTAACAGAAATGGGTTAATAATTAAGACAGAGCTAGCCAATAAGAAACAAGTAACTGGCCAACAGCATTATATCAAATACAGAGTCTCAGTGTGTTATTTGGGGCTGGTGCAGCGGTGAGAGGAAAAACCTACTCCTTACAATTCTGAACTTGTGATCTCAAAAAAAAAAAAAAAAAATAGACTATGTATGTCACAGGTGTAAAACACATGACTTCCTGTTAGTATAATCAAAGATAACTTTTTTTTTTAATGTGTTGTGTTTGGTCAAATTAATTTCTGTTCCTTAAACAGCCAAGTTTCAGGGCTAGAGAAATGGTTCAGAGGTTGGGAGTGCCCACATAAAGTAGTTCACAACTGCCTGTAACTCTAACTCCAGGGGAATCTTAACACCCCTGGCCTCCTCTGGCACCAAAACACAACATGCATACCCCACCCCCTACACACATAGTATAAAATAAAATTTGGGAAACACTATCAAGTTTCATTCAACTTAGGCATTTCTTAACATAGAGGCAACTCTAGTTTCTACCTATATACAGTTTGCATCAGAGCACAATAGAATCACCTATACAGTCAACCACTGCCGAGTCCAAATGTGACCTTCACTGGTATAGCCAAGAGTCCAAATGTGACCTTCACTGGTATAGCCAAGAACTGTTGCTCCCCTGAAAGTCTCTATGCCCTATTCCCCAGCTATAAGCTGTCTGGTATATTACCAACATGGGTGTTTTACTTAGGAGTTTCTATTGCAACAATAAGGAACAATGACCCAAAACAACTTGGGGAGTAAAGAACTTAATTTCAGAGCTTATAAGTCTATAATCCAAGAAAGTCAGGACAGGAACTCAAGGCAGGAACCTGGAAGCAGAGACCATGGAAGAGTGGTGTTTACTGGCTTTCCACCCAGGGCTTGCTCAGCATGCTTTCTTGTATCACCTAGGACCACCTGCCCAGAGGTGGCACCACACAAGGTGCGTTGGACCCTTTCATATCAATCATCAATCAAGAAAATGTCCCACAGGCTTATCTAAAGCCAATCTGGCTGTGATATTTTCTCTATTGAGGTTCCATCTTCTCTAATGGCCAACACAAAGATCTTGCTAGCCTAGGGTGACATGCAGGTGCAAAGGACAATTATTACAGTAACAAAAGTTATTCTATGTAAAGGCCTCTATTTTCTTGTAAAGTAAGTACTTTTCAGTACTGAATAATGGCCACAAAACTTTGAAAAAATACCTTCCCTTGAAAAATAGCTGGCAAGTCCATCTCTCTATGCATATTCAGAAATGTGAAATCTGGAAATCCAGTGGCCCCAGCTTTATTTCCTTACCATGTATAGTGGTCACCATATCGGGGGAGGGGAGGGAGAGTACACCGGAGTTAAACCAAGGCTAAAATAACCTTTCAAAGTGTGGGAGCTGATAGTGCTTACTTTAATCACCACGGTCCCAATTACAGCTTCAGACCCAGCACTTCCAACATTCTACTTCCCTTCACGACACAGTTCAGTCACAATTACTCTCCTGCTGCCAAGTTCATCTCCTTCACCTGGCAAGAGACAAATGATGCCATCATGGCTAGCAGTAAAAACTCAATGGGGGCAGTCTAAGACCTTGTGGAGGAGGCCTCCACACCCGGATTATGAAGACACATTTAGGCAACAGTTTTACTGGTGTACTAAGATATGCTTGGGGCTTAGCTCAAAATTCAGTCCAGCATTCTGTATCTGAACGTTAGGAAAGGCACTCTTAGCTTGATGTTAACCACCAGTCACAGAAATATGGCTACTATGGTGAACACACACTTTCATACTCCTGGCTATACACAGAATCATAGTTGGATTAGAAAGGTTCCTTTCTGGTCAGGCCCAACCTTGACAGTTTATAAATGGAAAAGAAGATAGAAGAGAAAATAAAACTAGTAGGATACTCAGCCTGCATTTCTTTCTGGAGCCAGCCTAGGGTTTTCTCCACCCACAGGCATTTACTTCCCTATACTGCTCAAAATATTGAATATGTTTAAGGATAGCAAAATACCATATTTTAAAAAAATGGAGCTGGTGATCCTTTGCTCTATGTCTAAAATCCATACATGACTGAGTACATACCATGTTCTTCTTTTTGTGACTGGGTTATCTCACTCAGGATGGTTTCTTCAAGTTCCATCCATTTGCCAGCAAATTTCAAGACTCCACTGTCTTTTTCCGCTGAGTAGTATTCCATTGTGTAATTGTGTCACATCTTCTTTATCCATTCTTCAGTTGAAGGGCATCTAGGTTCTTGCTATTACAAATAATGCTGCTATGAATAGTTGAACAGATGTCCTTGTTGCATGGATGTGGATCAGTTGGTCATATGCCTAAGAGTGGGATTGCCTGGACCTGTGGTAAACCAATTCCCATTTTCCTGAGGAACTCCATACTGATCTCCAAAATGACAATACAAGTTTGCACTCCCACCAGCAGTGGAGGAGTGTTCCCCTTTCTCCACATCCTCTCCAGCATAAGCTATCATAGGTGTTTCCAATTTTAGCCATTCTGGCAGGAGTAAGGTGGCATCTCAGAGTTGTTTTGATTTGCATTTCCCTGATAGCTAAGGACGTCGAGCACTTTCTTAAGTATCTTTCAGTCATTTTGGATTCCTCTATTGAGAATTCTGTATTCAGTTCTGCATCCCACTTTTTAATAGGGTTATTTGGTTTTTGGTGACTAGTTTCTTGAGTTCGTGTATATTTTGGAATCAGCCCTCTCTCAGATGTGGGGTACAAGGAGGAACCTAACAGATTCATACAAGGTCCCTCACAGAAGGGGAAAGGGACAAGATCTCCTGAACATATTGGGAGTGGGGTGGGGGTGGACAGTGAGTGGAGAGAGGGAGTTAGGAGAAAGAGAAGGGGAGGAAAGGAGAACAGGTGGGACCAGGAAGATTGAGTCGGGGGGATGAATAGATGAGAGCAAAAAAATAAAAAAAGAGATACCATAATAGAGGGAGCCATTATAGGTTTGAAGAGAAAACTGACTCTAGAGAAATGTCCAGACCTACAAGGATGACCCCAACTAACAATCTGAGCAACAGTGGAGAGGCTACCTTAAATGCCTTTCCCTGATAATGAGATTGATAACTAACTTATAAGCCATCCTAGAACTTTCATTTAGTAGTTGTTGGAAACAGAAGCAGACACCCACAGCTAAACACTGAGCCAAACGCTTGGAATCCAGTTGCAGAGAGGGAGGAGTGATAAGCAAAGCGATCAAGACCAGGCTACAGAAACCCACAGAGACAGCTTACCTGAACAAGAAGAAGCTCATAGACCCCCAGACTGATAGTGGGGAAACCAGCATTGGACCGACTCAGACCCTCTGAACGCAGGTCTCAGTTAGAAGGCCTGGGCAGTCTAAAGGACCTCTGACAGTGGAACCTTTCCTGCTACAGGAAAGGACTTTGGGAGCACATTACCCTAGAGGCAAGAGGGAGGGCCTAGAACCTACTCCAAATGACTTGACAGATTTTGATGATCCCTCCTGGAAGGCCTCAGCCTCCCTGTGGAGTTGGGGGGGGGATGTGATGAGAGGGGGGTCAGAGGGGTGAAGGAGGGAGGGAGAGGGAACTGGGATGGATATGTAAAATAAAAAATAATAATAAGTAAAATTTAAAAATGCATAGTCTTTACAAGCATTTGATGGTTCATTACTTCAGAACATTAACTACTAAGCATTCTAAAATAAACACATGAAAAATAATGTAAGAGAATCCTCATTTGGTGGACTGCTGACATGGGGTAAATGCACAGAAATATATAAAGTGCCTCCACCCTAGACTTCGAACAACTACTGCCATGTCAAACAAATCTCAGAGTGCAACTAGGCAGATGAACCATACTAGCTGTGACAGACAGCAACAGAGTCAATGCAGCAGAAAGGACTGCCAGTAAGACAGGAAAGACACACTATTATTTTACATTAGTAGTTTTATTACAATACACACTGACACACAATTAGAGAAGGAATGTTCTGGCATTTCTGAGCATTTCATGGAAAGCAAAGGAACTCTGTAGGCAGTAGTCATCCATATTTTTTTTTTTTTTCCCCAAACAAAAAGCAAGCTTTTCCATGCGGTAACTCAGGAATACAGTCTTCTTATTCTTGTCTAGAAAATGTTGGCTAAAGAAAATGGCTATTGTAACATGAGCTGAAAAGGGACAAATTTCCTTCAAGATGTCCAAGTCCTGCCTCCAGGTTTCACCCAACTACCTAAGTGACTGTTATGATACTTGAGGCTGTGTGTTTGGGAACTACATGGGATCTGCTTATTAAGACCAATCATTATAATGCTACCATAATTAAAAGACAAACTGAAAAAGTAAGTCCTATGCAATGTTCTTTTCACAAGATTCACTTGAAATGTTAGAGTTACCACAAGCATTTTAATTCTATTAAGAGATCATTGGTAAAAGCTTGTTATTGTATCTGAAAAAGAACTCAGCTTAGGAGCAGACCATCCATGACATAAGAGTCACTGACCCTCCAGAAGCAGGCACTACACTACTACACTGTCTGGACTCCACAGGCAGTTTCAGATCCAATGTGTAAAAGACAATTTCCTCTCAACAATCACTGTAGCAGTCAGATGTTTAAATTCCTTAAGTGCCCAAATATACAAAAGCAATCTGGGGGGGGGGGCAAAAACATTAAAACAGTGTTTTGAATAAATTTGCTGCACATTACATAACTTAGAAACAACAGGGGCATAAACCCAAGCACAGCCCTAGTATTCTATATAGAAAAGCACTGCAGAAGAAAAAGTTTGTTTAAAAATGTTAAAACTCAGGTTCATATAAATACAGTTTTGGTTCCTCTGTGCTATGTCAAATAAAAATTCCATCACATACTCAGTCTGCTAGGTAACACATCTGGATTTTCATTTCTGGTTGTATCAGTACAAGAATATACACTGTTGCATATACTTTCACATATATGCTTATACATATATAAAAATTCAGATCATGAAAATTTGTTTTAAATACATACACTTAAAACCTGTGTCTCTAAAAATAAATACATTAAGCTGTTTGCTAGTAGCTAATTCTGAGTTCCCTCACACACCAATCAGAACAGTTTCATACAATGTCAGGGACCATTAGCTGCCTTTGAAACCTATTGTCTATAGCAAACACTGAAATGCAGTTGCATCACTAAAATATCATCCCCCAAGCACAGCTGCAACTGAAACCGTGGAAGCAACATCTTCGTCTCCTCCACGATCAGTCTCTGCAATGCATTTGCATTTGTCCAGTGGGTGGGAGGACAGCATCTCCTAGAGACAACACCTTGTTCAGTTTACATTACCTTCTAACTAAAGGAATAAGCTGCTATTGCTTCTGATGTTTTGTTTGAGGGAACTAACACAACACCATTTATGTTTGATATCGCTCCCAGAGATCACAGTGAGTGGTGTGTGATGATGATCCCACTGAGGTAAAGCAGAAGGAGCCCTGGTGTCTGAAAGAAGCAATGTTCCCAGGACAGCAGCACATAAAGGACCTGGAGCTCTATATCTAAGTGCCACAAAGTAACTGAAAACCACTGCCAATATGGGAACACCAGACATCTGACACTGTGGTTCAAACAACAGAAATGGTAAACACTCAAAGTAGTTTCTAAAGAAAGAATAGGATTCATAAAGAAAAAGAAAAAAAAAAAAAGGAGCTGTTACTGTTTTACTTTTACATCCCACCCTCACAAAACAAAACAAAACAAAAACAAAAAACCCTTAAGATGGTATATAGCCAGACCAAAATGTTTAATGTGCATAATACTTGACCTTGTCATTGTTCAGAATATAGCAAATTCAGAAATATAGGAAATCCATGATAAGAGACAATGAGAATTTCTAACACCACTGCCTACATTTTTAAAGAGGAAACTAAAAATCCAACTTCTAAAAAACTCAATGTGCTCACAGTTTCAGATTGCTATGAATCAAATGTAAAGGATTCACATACAAACAAGGCCTCTATTTCATTGACTTGAATCTGATTTAAACCTTTGGATATTTCAATCTTCAGACTCCACAAGGTAAGGCTGAATTTATCAGGTATAAATAAAATATTTAGGTCCATGATGTACTGTAGTTCTGAGAAACCAAATATATACAGGTTGGCTACATGTCTCCCCTTAAGACACATGGCAGTACCAAGCCTTATTTGTCTCTTTAATTTTCTGGCTGTGAAAACGAGGCAGCAGCATTCTTCCCACTCTTCTTTTCTCTGGAGCATTGAGGTCGGAGGCAGGGACTAGGTTGGCCGGTGCAGTCTCTTGGGTGGTGGGGGTGGCATGAGCTCTGTGTCAGGGTCCAGGGGATACTTTCGCTTCTGTCCTTGGGCAGCTGCTGCACATCTGTCAATGAACTCAAACAGCATCTCCTTGGTGACAGGGTTTGAGATGCTGTTGCACACAGCTGTGAACAAAGGGGGACAACATCTCAGGTGATTAATAAAGGCAGTAGCCTCACCACATGCTGGAGGTGGTCTCCATGCAGCTCTATGAAACCCTGGCATTTCACCAATGGGCTTCAGGTCAGGTGCTTTTCTAGTGGTTACTTTTTGCTGGAGTATTAATTTCAAGCAAGAATGCTAAGGAATTTTAGTCTAGTATAGCACACCCCATGAAAGTCTGCACTCAACTAAATCTTATACACAGGAAAGTACAGTTTTTAAGCCCAGAAGGCTGTCCATTCTGTGAAATAGAACAGCACTCGCCCCTGCTACTAGGTATAGGAAGGTTTAATGACAGCTGCCATCCATATTGTTATTTTAATCATTTAGTTGAAGAAAGGACACAAAATATAATAGCCTAATAAACAAAGTATCTTTCCTTGAGTAATAAAAATTTAGAACCAATGCTTTTCATTTCATTTATCTATTTGGCTTTTGGGGGGTGGGGAGAAGACAATGAAATGAACTCATCTTGTCTGAACATAAATCTACTTAAAAAACAAAACAAACAACCTGAATGTGAAACAGTATCTTTTAAAGTGAAAAGTCTCAACTGGCCACCTCTCTCTATTGTTCTGTTTCTCATGATCACCATCACCATCAGAAATGAACACTATAGACAACTGCACAGTCTAGTAATCTATATTCTTCTGTTGTACCTTTTATATATATTTTTAACTACCTCTATATTACAATACCTTATAAACTCAAATGAATTTGTGGTGTTTCTTGTGAAGACCACAAGCATTTCTAAATTCCCAGGCATTCAGCTTACACCCAAAGAACATCCTGAAGGACAGCAGGGCAGTTTTTATGTTTTAAAATGGTTTTCATTTACTTTCTCTTCATTGTTTGTAAAGTTATTTTAGGAACTGGAAATTACATTTTCTTTTGCTAATTTTGTTTCTTACCATCTGGCAAACAATGGTTTTAATAGTTTTGAACAAATCAGAAATTATCATGGCTCCCACTGTTGCTGCCATTCATTACTAGTATGCAGCCACCATCCTGCCCTCTTAGCCCTCTCAGGCACACAGAGCAGCTCCCCAGCCCAGGCAGAATGACTTCCATTTGACTAGAGGTTAGTAAGGTGCTGGCCAACAGTACATGTGGGCTCTGACGCCATAATACTCTCTGAAGTTTAATGTAATGGCCACTGTTCATACTCACCCATGGCTGTGTTGTAGGCATTTGGGAAACTTTTGTCTATTCTCTGCCTCATAAAGACCCAGCTGTTGTTCTCAAATTTGCATTCTATAATTTTGTTGTCGTACTGTTTTAGTTCTTTTGTCACCTGTTTTAAAAGAGAATTGATGAAAATATTTAAATCATTTGAAAGGCTTTTTGCTTCCACTATGTGACAGACACATTAGGAAATGCCAAAAACACCTCAGTAACTCTTCAAGCAGAGCTCTTTGTCATCTCAAGTGTCTAATCAAGCCTGAAGATATGGTGCACACTCCCAGTACACATGCTCATGTATCTGACACTTCAGAGTTGTGAAAATGGCTGTCAATATATAGCAATTAAAAGAAGCTAAGCAGAAAGCTACCACTTCTGGGCCAAATGCAAATATGTTACCATGGGGACAATGCCTGCAATCCTGTCTGTGTTTCTCTGGCTTTCAGAAACTGAGTACACTGCTTAGAGTTCATCAACTTTCAGAAAGATCTTACCATTTAAATTCCTATGCCAAAACCCAAGAAATTCTCTTTACTATGGGTAAAAGCGCTACACATCATAAAAATAAATAAGTAAATAAATAAATAAATAAAATAAAGACTAGCATCAACTTCAGGCAATATGCTTCCTAAATTTTAATTTTCAGGCAATGATAATTAACCTAAACCTACTCCTTAGGCTATTTTTCCCTTTCATCTTTCCAGAGAGTACAGATTTAGAGAGGAAACTACTTTGACTTTAGCTGATGTGTTTCTTGGCTTCTTTACCTCAGATGATTGAATATGGATTACAACATACTCTATCAAAGCCACCGAGTCTCCATGGTAACTATGGTAAGTTTTAAAAGATATTCCATCAGGCTGGGAGAATAGTTTTCATAAAAGGAACCTAAGCTTATCTTTGCACTTTCCCAATCAAATGCCAGTCATGGTAATATTTGAATTCTGTCTTCATCCTTCAGAACTAACAACTCTCTCACACAATATGGTAGATTGTAATCACTAAACTTCATTAGCATTATTTGAAATGCTCCCATTTTCTGCCTACATATTCACTACCACCTAGGAAGATGAAGGGATGCAAAATTTTAAAAGCTGCTTTCAATTCACAGATTAGGGAGGGCGTGTCTTCATAAAAAAAAAAAAACAAACTTTCAAACAGTCTTCCTTCCCTCTAGATGAGTGTTGTTTTTGAACGATCATTTACATTTTCTACACACCTAACAAGTCCAACAGGCCCAGGATGTCTAGCAAATCTGGCTCTCTGACTTGATCTTCTCACAAAAAATGATGCCCACTGTTAAGCTACCTAGGCAGTTGTGTCCTCAAATAATCCATACTCTACTCTCCCTCACTTGACTTAGCATGAGTTCATCTCCTTTTACTTTTGATTCATCACTTACATATAGGCACTGGGCAATTCATTCCATCTCGGCAACCACCTCTGGGCTATGTCCCAAACAAGGTTTAACAGAAGTTAAGTCTCTAAATCTTCTAAAGTCTGCATTTTCTAATTTCAAGAACAAAGGACTTTCTAATATACTAAATCATGGGAAGAAAGTCCTTGATACAGAGTAGGAAATCAGTAAAAGTGTAACTAAATAAAAGACTCTAAGAAAGCCAACATTCTGCCTTAACCATTATAAAGGCACATTTTAGCAATATTAAACACATTTACTACTGTATAGTCAACTTCTCCGATTCATGTACTTTCCAATCCTACAATTTTGCACCTCCTGCATATCTACACCTTCCTATTTTCTGATTGTGGCTTTATAGTTTTTCTACTTTAAACATTTCAAATGAGTAGGATAGCATAGTATTTATGTTTCTAAAGAAGTTTATTTTGCTTTAGCACAACATGCTCAGGGTTCACTCATATTGTAGCATGTGATAGTATTCTTCTTTAGGTTACATAATATACCATTACAGATATGCATTATATTTTCTTCAGCCATTCATCTGTTGATGGACATTCTTTCTACCTCTTTGCTACTGTGACTAATGCTGTGAGAAAATGGGGTATAAATATCACTTTGAGGTATATACCCAGAAGTGAGACTCCTGGATCATATAGTAATTCAAATTTTTTATTTTCCAAGCAACTTTCATATTAATAAACAAAATGACTAAACCGTATCACATCACCAACAGTGCAACCCTTACATGCTGGCCATCCTGACAGGAAACAGATGTTATGATACTATGGTTCATGATAAGACGTGCTTATTGGTTGTACACCTTTTCTGGAAAAATATCTATTTGACTCCTTTGCCATTTGGGGGTAGGTGTGTGAAAGTGGGTCCCACTGTGTGGCCCAAGCTGGCCTTGAACTTCTGGTGTCATCCTGGCCTTAAATGTGTGATCTGCCTTAGCCAAGTGCTGGGATAAGAAGCATGTCCAACTACTTTTGCCTGTTTAAAGAAATTTTTCATTAGCATATGTTAACTATAAATATTAATGTAATTCTGTCAGAGCTTTTCATTTGTGCACATGACATATTTGACTATAACTACCACTACTCCCATTTCCTTCCCTTGCCCCCCTCAGTGGACTAAGGACAAGATACCTTAACATATTTCCTTTAACTTTGATGTCCTTTCCCTCTGGATTGCACATAAGAGAAAACTTGTCATGCCTTTTTTTTTTTTCTACTTACACACACACACACACACACACACACACACACACACACACACACGCACATACCACTAGTTTGAGCCATTTATTATTTTAACAGGGGATATACAATACAGCACAACTGAAAGAACACAAATTTAACAGACATTTATATTTGAATGAGAAAGTATTTCAGTTATTTTGTACTCTTTTTGTTTATTTTTGAGATGGGATGCCTATACTTTTAATCAAGGTTTTGGTATTGTTGATTTTTATGTCTTGCCATTAACTCTCATCAGACAATGTTTATAACTCTTTTCTTTCATCATACAGACCACTGTGATAATTATAAACAACAGTTTTTAAGTTTAATGACCCTGTTTATTTTTCATTTTGCTGACTGTGATTCTGGTGTCACCCAACAAGTTACTGCCAGATCTCTTCCTAAAGTGTCCCCAATTCTTGTTTTGTTTTTAATCCTTTGAGGTTCAATAGTTTAAGGTTTTATGCTTCAGTTTTTAGCCTACTTAGGAGTTAACTTCTTACATGGTATAAGGGCAAAGGTCCATCATTTTCTAGATATCCAGTTTCCTCAGCAGTTTTTTCCTGAGGAAATCAGCTTTCCCTTGTTTGTGTAACCTTGTGGAATATCATTGTCTGTAGGTTGAGAACATATTCCTGGGCTCTCTATTCCACTGACTGCTCTATTGCTTTTGCTACTGTTGGAGACAGAGACTTCCTCTATAGCTCAGCATGTCCCCAAATTCATGATTTTGCTGTCTTAATCTCCCAGGTACTATGAGGTCACAGGTATGTACTAGCACATCTATCTAATATTTTTCCTTTGGAGCTGGGGGCTATTTCAATAGATCCTGTGATCTACCTGTCTGTGTCAATGATGAGTGAGATTTAAACCACTGTAGTTTTGCAGGAGGTGAAAGCCAGGAGTGTAAGGCCTCCAACTTTGCTATCTGTCAGCTATGTAGAATCCCTTGAGAGTTCATATGAATTCTAGCACAGCTTTTCCCCTTCTGTAAAAGTAAGTTAGCATTCTGATAAGGTTACACAGCGTCTAAAGGTTGCTGGAAGTTCTTTGAACATCCTGACAACATTACACTTGGATCCATGACTACTCAATAGCTTTCCCCTTAGTTATGTCGTTTTTTATTTCTTTGAACAAGAAATATTGCCTATTTTCTTTAAGCAACTTTACAAGTAAACTCACTAATGGAATCACACTGACATAAAAAGGTACACTCTGAAAGCAGCTGTCAACAAAATTTTATCTTTGGCATTTTAGAAGAATGTTAACTTGCTTGCTAGTCAACAAGTGCAATTTGTTCTTTTACTGACTAGCAACTGGGGGTAAAGTTTCATATAGCTTATCACTTTTGTGTTCTCAGTTTCAGCCTTGTTTTAAATTATGTGTGGCTTAATTTACTACATCAATTAAGAAACATTACTAACTATCTACTGTAGCTGCTTGGCCAAGTATTAGCAATCTGAGAAAATCTTTCCAGAAAATGCATGTACCTACAACTGCTAACTTAAATTCATGTCCATATTCTACAAGAAATGGTGCTATTTATTGGTTACACATTATATTCACACTACAGGCAGGCTGCAAGGTATACATTTGATTGAATGGCAAATATCTTTAACTGATAAAAATAATATCTCTCATATGTGCACAAACTAAAGTTTTTACTAATGGTCTCATTGAAAAAATTGAATGAGGTACAGAGAGACTGAATTTGAATATCTATATTCATCTTCAGCCAATTCATATCATTATTGACTAAAAGAGGACCCCTGTCGGTCTTCTATAGCAAGTCTGCTATCTTAGTTTGAGTTAATGAGTGCTTAATAGTAGAAAGAATAAAATATTTATAAGTTAGAATTTTACACTGTACCCATTATTATATTAAATTGATTTAATAATCTGAATGGGAACACACTAACAAATCACAAAAGCCATGCTAAATGTTGGTAACTTGCACAAAGTGGGTGAAAATAGTTCTATTTCTGGTAGTACAACAGGAACCTGTAGATAGCTGCCCTGCTGGGTGGCCATATCAAGTGGGCATCTTAGAGAACAGCTTCTGTTTGCTCCAAACCATTAAAAACAAAACAAAATTACCCATATATCAAGAAGGCCGTCAGGAGTTTCTACTTTTTTAACATTTAATTTGGAAAGATTTTAGATTGACAGAAAAGTTGTAAAGGTGGTGGTGGAGGTTTCCTAGTTTCTTCTGCCACTTTCTGCTAACATTTATATTCCATTTATCAGTGTATAGCTATCAATTCTAAAAAAACAATTAATATTGGTATAACATAAAGACTATTAGGATTTCTGTCATTACCTGTAACAGGACTCAATCCAGAAAACCACTTGGATTTAATTGCCACATATTAGTTTCTCCCAATCTGCAACAATTATTCAGATAGTCCTTAGTTTTTCCCTTATTTATTTATGCTCTGTAACCCAGGTTGG